TGAAATGCTTAATGTGCTTCTTGAGGTAATCGAATGCGGTCGTAGCGAATGGGAATTAGGTGTTGCATATATTTGTTCTGGTTCAATTGTGTAAGCACAAAGTGGAATTCAGAACTTGGATGACACGCAAGACCACGACAAGCATAAATATGTGAATTTTTTTTCTAATAGTCAAGCAGCACTGAAAGCTTTAATAGCACACACTTGCCAAGTCATAATCTTCTGAAAAAACTAGAATCTATAATCAAAGAAATCACTTTGTCGATGACACCAAAAATTCAACAAAGACGAGGCATGGAAGCTCAGGGGCTACCGTTTCTGCTTACTGAGCAGAAGGTCGGGGGATCAATTACCGGCCCCTTCATTGCAATTTTTCACTTTGCCTTATTCTATCCCCACTAGACTTAAATGAAAAACGTATTCTGCTATAGCCACAACCAATCGCATCACTTACCACAGTTGAATCCTGATCTAAAAATAAACCACCTCACTAACACAACTATCCTCGCCGTGAAAGCCGTGGAGATGCAGAGGTGTATTTGGTCTCTAGTGTAACAACGGACGCCGAACTTCCCTTTCCAAAAGACTGTGAGGACGTGGTCGGTGCTGTGATTGAACTAGTGTGCTTGTACATCAGAGATGTCAGGTTTGCAGACATGTCTGTGAATTTGCAGAATTTAGTTTTTTCACAGACATTTTTTCGTTACAGACATTTACAGTCTTTTAAGGTTTTTCACAGATATTTACAGACTTTTGAAATCAAGGGAAAATTTTAAAATTTATTTGGTTACACTCCTTTTATTTTGTCGAACCTCTTAACGGAATCCCTTTATGAAGAGCTTTGAGTGGGTTGGTTTATTTCCTTTAAATTCCGTTTCTTTTCGCCTATCTTTTGACATATACGCGTATTTCGTCTACTACTTGCAGACTTCATCAGTGCCAAGTACAGTGGTGTTGAGTACTTGGAACTGATGAAGTCTGCAAGTAGTAGACGAAATACGCGTATCTGTCAAAAGATAAGCAATTATAACGGAAATTAATCAACGCACTCAAAGCTCTTGGTCACACTGTTTTAAATATTTAATCAAATTACATGTGCGATGCATTTTGCAACACGCATTATAAATTCGCACGTTTTCAAATCCACCACACGAACGAGCTGTCACTGGGCCTTATTACGGGTGTCACTACACGGTGATAAGCAAGTGATAAGAGCTATGATTACCGTACAAATCAAATGAGAATCACTTCACCGTGACGACAAGTGACAACTTTTCACCGTGAAGTGACATCAGTAATAAGCCCCACTGTTATAGAAGTTCATAGTTATATACCAGTCAATCTGCTGCCATGTTGTATCTAAAACGAACATTTTCCATACGATTTGACGGTTTGTTCGGATACATCAACTCACGTTGGTCAGTCTATAACTTAACTAATGAAGTAATGAAATTGGGTTGTTAGCTATGCTTAAATAAAACAGCAAATAAGGTAATCTTCCATTTAATTCCACTTGATTAATTTTGGTATCCATGACAGATACGTATTTCGACTACAATGTGCAGTCTCCATCAGTGCCATTCCCACTAAAGAACTTAGCAAAATCTAACCCCAAAAAAAAATTGAAATTTTCGCTCCACAGTGCACAAACGGTTTCAAATTGGGCCCTGACCAGTGCGCAAAACAGTCAGGTTCATTGAGTCATTTTGATATGAATATGAACTGCCATCTGCCTCATCATTCACTGCCTCGTGAGAGTCTAAATGATTGAAAGGTAAACGAGTCATTGACAGCCGAGCACTCAGTCAGTAGCTCAGTCAACACGTATATTCTGCCGTAATGGTACCCAATATTTGTTTTGAATGACTGAGCGTACATTTTCTACACGGTTAGAAAAAGTACCCAAAATTAAGTTCTTTTCACTCATCTCGGCACTATAGTGCAGGAACCCAAAAGTAGGTAAAGCGGGTCAAAGTAATTTTCATTTACTTGTGTGCAGTTCGTATGGAATTTTCCGCTAGCTTTTTAACCAAAAGTAAGTTAGTTGTACCCAACAGTAGGTTGGGTTTCCACACTTTACTACCCTTGTTGGGTGGTTTTGCTCCTTCTAGAAGATTAGGAGGAGAAAATGAGACAAACTAGTCAAAAGTAGGTAAAAGTGAACTGGCCGTTGGGTACTTTTTTCTTACCGTGTATGGAAAAAAAACTCAATTATATGCTGTGTGAGCGACGGCAAGCGGTGTGCGTCGCCTGCTCGTGAGTGACTGAATGTTTTTGTTGGCTCTTTCATTGCCTCGTCCTTTACTGTTTGGTACAAACGGTCTGTACACTGAAACAAATCGACTTGTACCGTTTATTGGATCCATCTTATAACATTTCAATGGCAGCAGATTTATTAATTCTATGTGATGATTTATAGATTCCATTGGATTATCACTTAAAAACTATGACTGCGATATGGAACGATTTCTATCGTAATTCCACATACTTAGTACTTGATAATACTTTGCTTCGAGCGTGATTAGCGATAGATAAGATGTATATGAATATTGTCTGATATATTTCATGGTGAAAAACTGGTGATATGTAATGGGTGGGAACAGACATCTAGAAACTAATGGAAAATCATATAAGTTTGCACTATGACGAAATTCAGTAAAATATACCTGTTTGCATGATGAATATTGCTCACTAAAAGATATTTCTTATAAGATAATCATGTATATTTTATTGGAGTTGCTTTTAACGATTTTTGACGTTTGTTGATATGTCACGTGTAAACAGACATGTCGAAACTATTGGACAGTCATTTAACTTTGCAGTATAGAAAAACATGTATATCTCATTGTAATAGCTTCCTTTGATTTTTTTACGCTTAAAGATTGTAAACAGATCTATCTCAATCATTATATAGTCATATAGATTTGCCTTTTAAGAAATCCAACAGCAAACATTAGTTTGGGCATGGTTTTCTGGATCAATATCGCTCCCAATAAAATACATCTTACATGATTGTTCTTCATAAATTATTGAAACAATTTTCAACGTTGTTACCAACAATCAATACGAAAATAACGATTTTAAATTGGCTCACTACTTGACTAGCCTATTGGTCCCAAGCAAATCGATTAACGTACCCCATTCTAGTCAAAATGCTAGTACTACACAATGTTTGTTTTGATTCGCTATGAAAGTTTGACAGATAAAATGAGGGGTCATTGGATTTTCCTATGTTTCGAGGGGTGATTCGACTAGCTTGGGACCGGAGATAGTACCAGAGGTGAGCCAAAAAGTTGAGCACGTGTTTTTTATCAAAGGTAAGTGTCACTCGAACCATAACAGCAATTTATAAAATAACGAATATTTTGAATGGCTCGAGTGACACTTGCCTTTGATAAAAAAACACGTCTACTGAGGATTCATAGTTATGGAAAAATCATATATCAATGAAACAGTCATCGGTCGTCATTGAAAAGCAATGCAACTATGTTCTGTCAATCTAATTGACTTTTATTGGTTCTTTTGTCTTGTGAATTTTAGCTAAAACGGCCTCTTTTCTGATTTTTATCTCTCAATATATGAAATAAACACGAAAACTATGTTGGAATGAAACTTCTAGAACAATATGAGGAACATTATGCCGTACACTACACATTTTTATATCATACGGGTGGAAAATTCGTAGAACAAATACTTTAAAATTCTTCACATTTTAAGATATCTTCGAGCATGAAACTAAGTGAAAATTCAATAAAATCACTTCGAATAGTCAACCTTTGGTCACAAAGTTGATACATGACACATTAAACTTTGCTATGAAAGTTGTTACAGCAGTTTTCGTTATTTCAGTCTCGAGATACAAATATTGTAAACCGTAAATTACCTTAAAAACATAAAATTAACTTGAAGCACCTCTAAATCAACACCGATTTTGCTGAAAATTTGCACAAAAGTTCAAATTAACATGACGAACAGTAATCACGGTTGACCCGTTACATTCCGAACATTTCAATTAAAATGAACAGGTCTAATATATACACACATACATAAACATTTTCCGATTCCGTTGGGATGAGTCTATTGGAATATGCCATTCATCTCTCCCGGTCTTGTAACGAAATTGTGTTTTTCAAGTGATATCATAGCCTTTTTATGGATGCATTCCCAACTCCACTTAGGTTCAATTCGTTAAAAGCACGTCTGTTTTGCTCGAACATGACTTTTACTGATATTTCAAATGTTGCATCTATTTCATGACCACCCCAATTACAGCTCAATTAAGACATTTCCGGAGAACTTCGAGATAAGGGATTAATTGCTTTTTTAAACAAACACGTCAATCACCGATTTCTTGCTAATTAAAGCTCAATCTCGACAACTAACAACACAAACAGGTAGAGGAATGATTCCTCTATCATTTGTTATAGTTTGTTTGCGAGATTAAGCTTTTATTCGTGAGCAATCGGCTATTGACGTGTTTGTTCACAAAAGCATTTACGCCCAAATCTCAAAGTTCTCCGGATTTATGAAATTCACAGACATTTTTCGCAGACTTCTGTAAAAAAAATCTGGCATCTCTGTTGTACATTGAAAATAGAAAGTCAATCCCAGCATCTACGTGGTTCTCTGTGAAAGTGCATAAGTTCTGATAAATCACGGAGGAGCAGCTACGAAATGCACGGTCTTTAAAAAAAACATGCAACATACATGTAATGTGACTTATTTACATTATCGAATTCGTTCACTTTCGGAAGGCGCAACATTGAATGAAACGAATTTCCTGCAAGGAAATTTACTTTTTTTCATTTGCACTGCATTGCGATGTCAGTAGTGGACTATTACCCGACAATTCAGCTATTGACGCAATGCCAGACATTGTATTGCTCCATACGAACAATCTCCAGTGAACAGATCATAAATAAAAATTAATAAATTTGCGGAAATCTAGCATACGTGCTAAATAAAACCATAGTTCTTGAGTGTGCGTTTTTATTGATTTATCACTCCTCCTCCTCCTCCTCCCGCACGGTCAACTGTGGCACCTTATCGACGAACAATCCTAGCATCAGTCGGGTCAGTTCGTTCGGGAATAGGCTGAAAAGGAAAACCATCACTGACAATAACTAATTCAGAAAATGTTCACACCCTAGCGACTTACGCGTTAAGCTTGATCATGATTTGCATGTACAACGGAGAGGTAATAATCTCGCAACGGTTCCGCAAAACTGCATTGATTGCCACATCCGCAACCTCATCCGGTGTGTGAATCGGAGCCCGACAGCTGCAATGAAAAAAAAAAAATATTAAGCACTTGGTTTGGCAAGCAATTGCATTTGGCACCAGAAGTGCCAGTTTTCATTACCCAATCTGCTCGAGGTATTCCATAAACTCCTTTCTGGTGGCTACGAAGCCCGGATAGACACACGTCACGAAGATGTCTTTTTCGTAGCCGTTCATGTAGAACTCCTCGTTGAGACCTTCCATCAGACCACGCACGCCGAACTTGGTAGCACTGTAACATACGGTGCGTCCAAACGGGACGATACCTGCGCAATTGAAGGTCAGTAATTAGTGTTGGTTAAGACAGGTTGAGCGAGTAGAAGCATTTCGATTTCACCGAATGTAGATGATACTGCCACGATATGTCCTCGACGGCGCTCCATCATGCCGTCCTTGAAGGCGCGGATTGTCTGGAAATATGAATTGTATAATCGTAAATCTATAATTAATTTGAGCTTATTGGTCAATCGCGGGTGGTGTTATTTACAACCTTTTAAATATTTTCGAGGTTGAAAACAATGATAGTTGAACACCCAATAAAGATTTTATTGCGGATTTTTAGAAAATGTTTACATTCATATTTGAAATGTTTCACAGCAGGAACAGATTATTTAAAGTGGAGTTTTCAAATTATTTTATGAGATTAGTGTTCCCCAATGCACTGGGGCTAAAAAATCGCCATTAAATCTGTAAAACATTAAGTCTGGAAAAACTTTCTTGATTGCTTTAATCCGTTGTAAGAACTGCAGCTACTTTTCTTTTGTTTTTGTTTTCGGCTCTTGACTTTGTAGTCTATAGAAGTGAAAACGTTAATGTGCTTTCATTCTCCGACGTTTTGGTCCTTATTGGTCCTTTTTAAAGGATAACACTGTATTTTCTTGTCCAATCAAGTCGAACAATGCATTAGGTCCTAAGTAACATTGATCGGCTCTCTTCACCGACTTTCTATTTCGTTAATAACTCAGAGTATATAACCTTTCCTTGCCGTGTTTGTTGAATTAGAAGCTAGATAATTGCTTCTTTCATTTAACTGTGTGCTTAAAATAGCTGAAAATGCCTTAACATGGCCGTAAGGATGCAAAGAGAAAGTCGGCGAAGAGAACGATTCGTGCGCTTTGCGGCTCAATTTGAGGAGGAAAACATGAAAAGCATTGTTGTTTTTGGCTAGGTGTGGGATCGGAGACGAACCAAAACATTCAAGTTGTTAAAATACCGTGCAGCCAAACATGTTATACACTGGAGCAGGCATGGAAAATCATTTGCATTCATTTCATACATTCATTTACATTCATTTGCCTCTAACTTTTTTCATCAACAGCATTCCGCAAAATGATGTATACAGCTTTTGTAGGTTTTATTATAAGCTACAACTTGCTTATAATTAAAATCTATATCTCTTATGCATCACGAACTAGAGTGGGCAGAACTTGTTACTGTTTTTCAGTGAATGTAAAATACATTCACTGAAAAACAGTAGTGGCTTCTGTTCGCTGTGGTTCGTCGTGCATAAGATATACGAATTTTACTTGTGAACAAAAGTTGTAGTTAATAACAAAACCTACAAAATCTATATACTTCAATTTGCGAAATGCTGTTCAAAAAAAAAGTTAGAGGCAAATGAATGTAAATGAATGCACGAAATGAATGCAAATGATTTTCCATGCCTGCACTGGAGTCATTTTTTACGCGGGTAATACGTCCCGCGTAAAAAAAAACCGCGTAAATTCCGGAATCCGCGTAAAAAAACTACGTAAATTCTGAAATCCGCGTAAAAAAACTGTATAAAAAATCGTGTAAAAAAATCGCGTGAAAAGCGACTCTAGTGTATAACGATAAACCGCATAAATTCTGAAATCCACGTAAAAAAAACCAAAATTCGAGTAAAAATAAACTGCGCAAATTCCGAAATCCGCGTGAAAAAAACCGTGTAAATTCCTAAATCCACCTAAACAAAACCGCGTTAAAAGCGACTCCAGTGTAATTTACAAAGAAAGGAAGTCAGCACAATGTCATAGCACTGTTGGTACTGCCGTAACATCTGCGGCACACTTGAGGCACATTGAGAAAACATTTGGCACATAAGTGTGTAGAATTTTGTTTTCCCCTTTAAATATATTAAAGCTTTGACGCGACTCCTAAGCCTTTATAAATCTTTACCATCTTTAGCACAAGCTCATATTTTGGGGTAATTAATCACAGTGGAGAATGGCCATAATAATTCTAAATTCATTTTTATAAAATTAAGTGCCCTTCCCAAGTATTTTTTTGGTTTTGTCATGGTTTTAAAGAGGTTCGTAAGAAGTAGAACGGAAATTTGGTACAGCTGAAAAGTCGGTAATGAACGTTACACGTAAGAAATCAATAAAATCGACAAATTTTATTTTTTTATCATTATATGGGGTAAATTGAACAAAGCATGTTCAGACGAGGCTCGGTAGTCTAGTGGTTACCGTTTCTTCTTATTAAGCAGAAGATCAAGAGTTCGATGCCAGGTCCATCCCCTTACTTACTATGTCTTATTCCCACTATGCCTATCCCCACTAGATTTAAATAAAAATAGTCTGCTGCTGTTACTGATTGATCGCATCACTTACCGCCGTCACAATATCAGCTTCAATCGACAAAATTGATGCGACAAAAAGACTGCTAGTATTTTTTTCTGTTGAAGTCGAACAGCTTCGCAGCATTATAGAGCCTCAGTCAGCGTCTACAAACAAATTTTCAATCACCTGTCTCTCTTTCTACCGTCGCTTCAATGGTCTTTCTTTCAAGCTTCGGTGAATTGGACCAGTAAAAAAGCTATCGACTTTTATAGTTTCGTATTTTATGAAACACATCAACCGAGGATTCATGTCGTGTATGACGGAAAATTAAAATATATATTTAAAGCATTTCTCACGTGAAAACACTTGAAGATTACACGTAATATATTTTAAAAAATTGAAAGAACCATGATACAGTGTCGGTTAAAGGGATTGATAGCCGTAATGAGTAGAAAATTAAGTTTAAGTAGAAAATTCTCGTTGTTGCTTTGCTCATCGCTTTCAATGAAAGTAGGAAGCTATGAGCAAAGCAACGACGAGAAAATCCACCGCCAGCCTTTCGTTCTAAGCGTGCTTCGTTTTCATTTTCGTTTCGTGCTGATAGTCTAGCTAGGCGGTATAGAAATGATGCGTTGAACACGTTGTATAAGTTCATTTTAGAGCTTCGAAAATGTAGAGCACTGCTTTCCACAGTGAATCATGATCTAAAAGTAATCCTTCCCGAGGCAATTGTGGAGATGTAGAGGTAAATTCGGTCTCTAATAACAACGATTGTCGAACTAAGCATCCTTCCCCTCCCCAAAGATGGCGAGGACGTCGGTACTGATCTATAAATAAAATGAAGCAGTGAACTTGTACGTTGAAGATGGAAATCAAATCCCAGCTCCATCTTTGTTGGTTCTCTGTGTAATTTCATTGGTTCTGATCAATACTCAAGTAACACAAATTCATTTTCATTTTGCAGCGTTTGGTGTGGCAATGGGAGCGCAAGTCAATCAAAAGTCGAGGATAAAGGAAGGGTAATGGCTGAATAGTCTATGCGGAACACTTGAACGCGATGGAAAAAGGAAGGGATTGAAGAGGTCGGTTATTGGAGGGTTTTGAGGAAATGACACCTAGTACTAGATTTGTGCTGCAAAATGTAAAGAAACCCTAAATCCATCTCCCACTGATTCATCCTTTCATATATATACCAAATTGATATTTTAAAGCAACCATCAAAATAAACAGACAATATTTGAAAAGGCTAGTTGCCTCCCTAAGCGGACCCCCCGCATCCTAAATCCTTTTTCAATCTACCGAATGTCATTAGGCTGTCTAAATGTTCGCTTGATGATTATGATATCTCATTAGCCTAATTCAACAAATAATTGAAATCTCTAATCCACCCAATCAACCATAACCCATGCTTTATTAAGTACCTGCACTTGTGCATGCTATGCAACATTCAACGTGTTTCAAGTTGTTTTTGACTTTGACCTATACTTATTATCTATCAGTTCGTCCCAGGTGACGCCTTCAAGTGACTAAAATGCTTTACATTGAAGTTAGTTTCCTAGCTGACCTTTAAATTACATAGGGTATATGCTCCAACTACGCTCACACGTTTCCACTATGTCGCATCACAAAAATACGTAAGGGTATGTCACAATAGAAGCACGCCACAGTGGAAATCCGGAGCCATAGTTCAAACACTTATTCCAAATATCCCAAACCAAAATGAAGCACATATAAGACTAGTTACAACACCATGTACAAAAATGGTGTTTAACATTGTTCCCTGAGTAATGCTTCAATGAAAACAACAATGAAAGCCCGTCACGCAAGTAGAAGGAGCACTTTTGGGCACCTTCTAAAATACTTCAATAGTATAACTCCCGTACAAACCCATCTGTGTAAAAATAAATAAAATAAGAGTGATTTGCGGAAAAACCAGCCAGTATCGCACCTAACGTCAGTGCCTATACGTAAGCGTACCACGACGCGGCTCTTAAAAAAAAGAGTAACAGGTGTGATAGTATCACTTCAGACTAGCACTTTGGTTCTCTCATGCAATAGTTCATCAGAGAGAGAGAGGAAGCTCAGTAATCCTCATCGCATGCACATGACGCCATTATGCCACCGCATGAGCCAACGATGCCGGACCTAAACCAACCGTCTCCAACGCTCCACTATGAAGCATAATATTAGGCCCGCCCACCAACGTCCAGGTTAAAAACTAGCCAAGGGAAGGGCTTAATAATAACCCGGAGCGGTTCAATTGAATAGCCTACTACACAAAAATAAGATTAAATACAATTAGATTGGTCTCACCCGATATTCTTGAAATACTTGACGTTTTGAATGAAACATTTCCATTTCTAGACTTCGTGTTGTTAGTTTTCTTGAAGGTCTTGTGCTTAAGGCTTGATTTGTCTTTCGCTTCGTATTTCTAAGAATTGACTCTATAAATAGATGAAAAAAAAAACAAAAACAAACACAACGCCTCCCGCGCACAAGCTGCAGACCGAGTGCAGAATCTTTGTGATGATACTTTCCAAACGTGCATACCCATAGAAATAAATCCAATTCAATAAAGGATTTATTTAAAAAAAAGATGATTTCTACTATGACTACTGTGACTACTGTGACTAAATCCAGCATTCCTACTAAAATATCAAATGCTGTGCTTAATCGCTTATTATTAGTACAGAGCAATAAACATTGTACGGTGATGATTAATCTGATAATATGCTTTTATAAGCGGGTTCAAATGCACTTTTGGTAAGCATCAATACTGATCTGGCTACACTAGTGTGCATCTTTCCAATGTGGTAAAGATCCAGATCAGCCCTGGGACCTGGTAGCCTAATTAAACTACCTCAAGGTTTTGCCAAAGCCCAGGGAATACCCAAGTAACACAAATTCATAATATTTAGTAAACTGCTATACGACCAAAACCAGTAATACAAAGGTTATATAAACTGTTATAGAACATGTGTTTTGCTTGGGTAACGGAGTAGCAACTACGACGTGCACGGTTTTTTTTTAACAAAAAATTAAATGGGGTTAACTGAACAAAGTACGTATGTACAAGGTTGGAATAAATTTTCTAATTATTTGATTTTTCACTGATTTTTTAACTGTTACCGAGCAGTGTCTTAGTTAAAAAAAAAATTAACGAACTGTGGATACCTGGATTTGTGTGTACGGTATGGAAAACATATCCTCTCTAACAATCTGGCTACGCAATCTGTTATTTTAAATGGACACAATTTCCACCATTTATTGAGTTGACACCAATGCATTGGATACCAGAATGCAGGTTTAGGTGGAAGGATATGTTTTGAGCCTGAATTGAAATTTAATACGAAACGTCTCATCTGCAAAGTTGTTCCTTATAGTTAGGCTCTCATTTTTATTACAATGAATTCTAAGGTGGTTCGTATTATCATTTAAATAAAAATTTACACTTTTTTGTTTGAAGGAATTAAGAGCAAAGTTATAGCGGAGCTAATTTCAAGCAACTTTATATATGTAAACTTTTTTGTATCTCTTGAATTGACCGCTTAAGAGCTATTTTATTGAATTGAGTTAGGGTGTCTCGAAAAAAAAAAAAAAACAGTTGTGTTGCTCTAGTTTTCTTATTTAAAATTTCTCAGCAAAGTCTTCAAATCAGCTTGTCAATATAATTTGCCGATCAAGAGTTATCAACGTTTTTCTGCTAAAAATATGCCCTTTTCAAATTTTAATATTTCTGGTTGGCGCAAACAAAAAAAAAAAAAATTGAAAGGACACGTCTTATTTTCAATAATAAGAAAAAAATAGAGGTATGCTATTTTTTAAAGTCGTATAAAATTTAATTGAATATATGTCTTTTTTACTATTATTGGGTATATCTTTTTTATTAAAAGAGATCAAGACAACAACTATTGCTATAAAATGTGCGTCTTAAAGAGACTTTTAAATCTTTACAATGTGACTTTCATGAAAAAAATAAATAAAAAGTTAGTGGTAAAACAACTATTTTTCCAGGAACACCCTAAGTCAACTCCGAAAAATTACTCTTAAAAGAGAAAATTATGAGATAGAAGCAAATTATCTTCAACCAAGTTACTTGCATGTTAAATGAAAGGAGCAGTTCAGCACTTAATTACTACTCGACCTTTTCCGATTTTTATTGTTGCAAACTCAAAATTGCTCAAACGTCATTTAGCACATAAAAGAAAGTAAAGCGAAAAAGAACGATGTGAAACGGAAAGCAGAATCAAAACAAAACAGCAAATAAGGCTATCAGAAACTGGCTTTTCTGCTAGAGGTTACTAGAAGGTCAAATTAAAAATGAACCTCAGATTATCTGGGGTCCACGGTACTGAACTAATATCATTCCTTGAAGACCTTGTTAGCATCACAACGCGTAACACGTAACAAAACGACAGTAAGTCAGAAGGAAGTTTGCAAGAAAAGTTGAAGAAAGCTGATGCTATTTTAATTGAAAAGTAATTGAAAACTGCCTGCCAGTGTACAGGATCCTCCGACTAATCTAAGGACCACTGTGACATCCATGGTGACATCCCTCTCCACAGCTGTTTTGTAGATCGTAGGTGGAGCCGGCATAGCCTGAGTGACACAATCCAACTGATTCTGTGCCAACTCTTCCAGGCATATAGTTATAATCCGTTTAGGATTAGAGTCGATTACTTTTTCAAAGGGACGTAAATATCTGCTGTTGTAAAGAAAGATTCAAATATGATTTTGTCGAAAATTTTAGCACTTTCACGCAAACTAGCAACACCATCTTGTTGGGGAAACATTTCACTTTCTGATGGTGGTGTTAGTTTGCGTAAGAGTGCTAAAAGTTTCGACAACTTGACATTTGAATCTTTGTTTAGGCATATTGACTTTTTAATCTTTGTTTACACAAGCAGATACGTCTCTTTAAAAAAAAAAATCAAATTTCCAGAAGAAGCGTTGATCTTGGAAAATCCAACATCCGGAACGCTCTGAGTAAAATTTAAATATTGTTTTCTAATGTTAGACACGTTTATTTATTCGGCCAATAAGTGTGACCGCTGGAATTCTAATTGCAGTTTAAGATTGCCATAAATTGATTGAATAAGATAAAACAAGGCGAGTTTTACCATTTACTGCACGAAATTGGTTGTTTACATGTTTACAAGCAATATACGGGTTTCTATTTAAAGCATTTGTTTACTTGATTTTTCTTTGCCTATGTGAGAAATATCGTAAACGCATTAGATATTCTATCAAACCATTCAGCTGATTCTCGAAGTTACAAAGGTTCATATATATGGATGAGAAAGCCTACGAGTAATTATTAAACAAAGAATGTTTCAAAGCGTTTCACATGTGATTCGTGGGGGGTTTTCCCGATCTGAACGCAACGTACATACTAACCGTTTTAGGCTCATCTTCATATGCACGCATGGGAGACTGTTGCTTATCAAAAAGACTTCCAATAGGTTAGTATATTCATTCGGCTGCCGCAGACAATTGAATGGTTGCATCAGTTTATTATAGAGGCATTTTCTCTCCAACGATCGTTCAACGATAGTCACGCAATCATGATTGTTAATGCTATAAAAGTCTCAGTAGTATCATTATTGCTTTGCTGGTTCATGTTCGGAAATCGATCGTAAACTGAACAGTTGAATACAGTGTTTGTTTTGCATGCACGCTTGCTTCTTTTCAATTACGATTTTCCTTAAGAGCGATTCAAATATGACATACACAAGCTTTTTGATCTATTTCCTCCCATCCCCAAATGTCATTCCTAATCTTACGGAGCAAATTATTCACTGATTAAACAACTCAAGTTCACTCACCCAAATGTGCGAGGTAAAGTTCACATCGATGATTCGTTGCACATCCTCGGTGGTACCCTCCGAGAGTGACAACATTGCCAGCAGTCCAGCGTTGTTTACTAAAATATCCACTGGACCCAGTGCTGTTTCGACGTCAATCCTCAGCTGCTCAACGGACCGTTGCTCACCAACGTCAACCTTGAACGCTGCCGACTTGAGTCCAAGCCTGCGAATTTCGGCCGCCGTTCTTTCGGCAGCTATCACATCGATATCGGCCACGGCCACATGGCATCCTTCCTTGGCCAATCGCAGGCACAGTGCCCTTCCGAGTCCATTCCCCCCTCCGGTTACCAAGGCAATCTGTCCCTTAACGGATTTCTTTTTGCCCAACAGAATCTTGTACCACTCCATGATCAGCGTAGGGAAAAACAGCAGCACCACTTTCACCACTTTAACAACAAACTCTTCCCATTTCCGAGACGTTTGCCCTTTTTCGGTATACTCCTTCGAGGCTGGCACGTACTCGCCGTCTTTATGGTTGAAATACTGAACCTGGTGGGCCATATCGAACGCGGCGCGATGTGATCTAATCGACAGTTCCGTACGAACTGATGCTCTCTTGCTGTATCTTTTTGCGAATCAAAAATCAAAGGATAGATCCAAGCAACTCTAGCCCAAATAATACACCACGCCACTACCGCAGCCACTGCGTTGCTGGGTCAATGTAGTGACCACAAGTGCGGAACGTGGTTACGCGAAATTAGTAAGCACACACCGGCAGAAGAGCTCGGTGAGGAGCAATTATTTTACGCAGTAATCGGCAGAAGCGGTTTTACCCTTAAGGTCATGTACACAGTAAGTGTTTGGGTTTTTTTAGGCTTTTCTTTGATAATTTACTAAAACTACCCGGTTATGTATGGGCATTTCCAGGATAAATAGCATACAAAATAATAAATTTCTGACTCGAACTTCTCTGGTGTGCATGTAACTTTGCTGAATTGTTTGTTATGGTCAATCGTTCACATTTGAGGTAAAATTTGGCCATTTTGAATCTGGCAAAATAATCGCAAGATGGCGTATTCTAAATGTATCACCATTACCTCAGGGAGAGTCGCGAAGAGAGAAAAATGTAACGTCAAATGCAGCCAGACGGTTGCTGTCACGAACTGTCATTGGGAGCCAAGCAATTTTATGATGCTTTTCTTACAGTTGAACAAGAATACGCAAGGCGGTTTTGAAATCTTGCGTAAAACAGTTTATGAAAAACTATTGTTTCCAGCTACTTTATTCAATGGGACACCGTTTCTTTTTAATTCATTCAAAATACACACAAATCAATATTGAAAGATACCATAAACAAGGTTTTGACAAAACATCTAGTCGCATAATAAAAAAACCAAACAGAAAAGTACAGTTTCTCACTGCACACTGAACAATCTCAAACAATCACTACACGCTCAAAGCAAAACACGCTATTTTGCTACGCCTGTTTTGATTTGATTTCAATGGCACACATTTTCATGACAAGAAGAAAAAGTAACAATCAATTTCGTGTGTGCTATCTGTTTCTCCCTTCCAGATCATTACAAATCATAACATGTAAACGTCACTTCCAATCGAAACGACATCTGGCACAAAGTTGCGGGAAAAAACAATTCCTTTTATGAAAAATAAAAATACACGGTAGAAAATTTTCAGTTATTTTGGGATAAAAATCAAAAATGTTGAATAAAACTTACATCACAAAAAAATTCCCTGTTGAATATTTTTTAATTACTATGCTATCTTGTGTAAAAATCAAGCTGGACATTTAAAAATTTACGAAAATAATAGATCATCATGGAAATTTTTTGAAACTATCTGTTTATATTTTTATGAGGAATTCTGCACATTCAACGATTTTGAAAGTCTAAAAACAAACAAATGTTTACCGAAAATTTATAAAATTAGTTCGAAAGTTGTTGTTTTATGATTTTTGTAAATGTTGTATTGTCTAACTTGAAAATTTCGCAAATGGCAAGATTTGTAATCAACTTTTTAAAGGTGAATATTGAAAAAATATTGATTAGGGTAATTTTTTGCTATTTAATTTTCAAACAATTTTCTGGATATTTAAAAACATAAATAACATAAATAACGAAAATAACATAATTATTGTTTTACGATGTATATTGTTATTGAAAAGGATTTTTTTAACTACAATTTTAGCTCAGACGTCATCTCGATTAGAAGTAACGTTTCCGAGTTATGATTTCGTTTAAAATTTTAAAAACGCCATTTTGAAGTTTTTTTGCTTGAATTGTTGAATTTTATCTCAAATGTGAATGATTTACCATAACAAACAATTATGCAAAGTTGTAGGCAATTCTGGAGAGAGGCTGGCCTCCTGGCCACCCCCACTAGATACACCAATGGAAACCGGTCAGCAATTACTATTCACGCACCGATGCGATGTTCTGAGTGCAGCTCAATGACGATCATCGGACAGAATGTGTAATGGGAAATATTAGATGCATCCGTCAAATGCAGCTTGAATGCAGAAAACAGAAATATGTAGATGCCAAGTTGGATTTACATCAATGCTTAGATGCTGCGAGTGTAAAGACCAATTTTCTTTTACATGATCTTGGAAACGTGCGTGCTGGACATTATGTTTGCTATTTCTCTATGCTTCGGAAGTAACTCGCGATGCGGCGGTAGCAATGAGTTTGACGTTTCTTTTTTATGAATAAACTTTTTACCTCTACAAGATGAAGACACAAACTGCTCGCAGAAGGCGATGCCACCCCGCGAGTAACCGTGTCTTTAGTGTGCCGCTTCTTTTTCTCTTTTTACAATGACAAAGCAATATTTGAGCAGGTGGCCATTGAATATTACTTCGACATGTGCCCAAAAAAATGTTATCATTACTGAATGGTTTTTTTACCAGAAGAATTGTGACCAGTCCAAATTCATTGTCATCCGATATCCGAGACCTGTTTTGAAAGTCATTCTAATAATATCTTTAACCGTGCTTGCCAACCCGACAAGTGCGAGAGAAAAAGCATTGTGTTCGAGAGTTGATAGACGGTCGCTTTTGCTGGTTATATTTGTCACGTTTGTTTGGATAGTTTAGCTGATTTGCCATAGAATCAAACCGGTGGTGGTTGGTTAATTTATGTTTATATCATAGTGCAACTTACATCCCTGACGCAAATGGTCTAATGAGTGCCTAATTTTGTGGAAACTGTCAATATTATTGCGATCCACCAAGTAAATAGATTCTTAAATCGGGATTAATTCATCGCGTGATATTATGGTAAGTATATTAGGGCACTTACAGTTTTTCCACAATTAGGTAGCCAGTAGCTTGTTTAAACAAATTTCAAATCATTTCAAGGACAACTCTATTATCAAGTTTATTTTATCATCGGAAAAGTTAGATCGAAATTCTCTTTGATGTGAACCCTTTTTGGCCCACGTGCTCAAATATAACCTTGCCCTATGATTGGCTGTAAAAAAACACAGGTTACTGATAGGTACATATATTCTTCATGTTAAAGGCCAGATTTATTGGCCTGGATATCTAAATTTGTGTATAGGATTTACCGTATGCGTGAAAATGTTGCACCATTGAGCAATGTCAAAATAAAAAAAAATCTCAAAAATTTCGTTTTCGAGTTTTTTTTTTATTTATTTAAAGGGGGGATGTTTCTCAGAGTCTTAAACTATGTTAATCATCGATCAAGTTTCCACTTGCTGCAATTACGGCCTTCACACGCTTCCGGAATTCACGGCAGATTCTAATAATGTAGTATGGAACCATTTCTCTCCAGGTACGGGTCAATGTTTGTCTGAGGCTTGCTGTGCTCGGGTGGCGTTTAGAACAGGCCTTGGCCTTCATGACGTGCCATATTGAGCGGATTAAGATCGGGGCTGGATGACGGCCACATATCCTTCGCCCAGAACGGAAAATGTTCCTGCAACCACTTCTGAGTGCGGTTCGAGGTGTGGCACGGAGCCCTATCTTGTTGAAATACAACATTTGGCTTCGTAACGTACTGTTCTTTGATCCACAGAAGAACATACTTACTTATAATCTCGATGTAGACCTCCGTGTTGACCTTGTTGCCTTCTGGAATGAACACCATGTCCATTTTTTTTCCATCGGAAGCCACCAATCCAAACACCATAACGCTAGCAGGATGCTTGGTCAGATACACGTTCTTGTGCTCGTCGGCCACGTCTTTTACCGGAAGAGAACTAATATACCGGCCGGTTCTGGAATTTGATACGGGATCGACGGTAAACATGCTCTCCTCGGTGAACAGGATAACCGGATTTTTTCGCTTAAGGAAGTTCAAGATTTTCTTGCATCGTTCGACTCTTAGCTCCCGGATGCGGTTGGTAATCATGTGAGTTTTTTTCCGTGCCCTTGACTTTGCCCCGCAATCTTCCTTTACGATCTTCCGTGCCGTAAAGTCACTGATTCCTTTGCCCTTATTGAATGCACTGGATTCACTTGAATCTTCCTTTTGATAGCAGCGATAACCCTCGGGACCCGAGCTGACCTCGGACAACCTGTGGCCACCTTCGCCGATAGTTGTCTTTTCTTTTCTCGGTCTAAAACCCTTTTGACGGTCCACCGGGACACTACCACGGCCATTGAAATGTCTTTTTGCGACATTTACGCGTGGGACAAATCACGAATACGTTGCCACTTCGTCATGGTGCAACTGTCAAACTAAGTAAATCATTTTCTTTTATGCACAGCTTACTACGGTATGAGCTATAGGTTACGTGCATGCAAAGAAAACCAGAATATGTTTCCTTATTCCCTTCAAAGCTTGCACGATGTCCTAAGCAGTGAAAAATGTACGGGGAGACGGGATAAGAACGCCTGGCTTAGTAAGATGGACCACTGCCCCGTAACGTGGGTAGATCACCTTTTCGTGGTACGTTACGGGATGTAAGATCTACCACCGATTCCTAGTCCTGACTACTTCAAACTAGGGGAACAGGATTTTTCAGTAATCCAAGGAACACATCTTAGTCCTTGTTACTTTTTATGCCTTGTTGATAGTCACAAGACTCGGCTTTGTCCACCGAGTATGATCTTGAAACAACGAAAAAAATTAGTTAGTTAGTCTTCATCTATGTGATTCATAATCTTCTATTCGTTGCTCCCTTGTTTGAAGTGGTTAAGACTAGGGTTCTGATGCATGGTCATCATCGGTATCATTCCTCAAATTTTTTGCTAAAGAATCCAATTTTGACTGACAAAAAGACGCGCCTTTGGAGGGTGTTATAACACTCCGAAGGGTATAAATAGCGGGACCTATGCGATATATGCAAGAATGACAACTGTAAAAAAAATAGAAGAATACTTCATCATTTCTCAATAGTGATGAAATAATACGACTAACACGGGATATACTACAATATATCAATTTACTGGTCGCAGTGGTGTTAGGTCCCTAACAGCTGAAAAAAAAAAGAAAAGATGGACCACAGCCAGTTCGACATCGAAATCTCTAAGATTCTCGCAAATTTCCAAGAGCTTCATAGAAATTCCTAAGATCTTCCTAGAAATTCCTAAGGACTACCAAGAAATTCACAAGAGTTTCAAAGGGGATCCCAAGAACTTCCAAGAAGTGCCCAATAACTTCCAATAAGTTCCAAAA